CTAAATATGTATTTTTTTAAAAATATGGAAACCCACTACTCCTTAAACTAACTTCAAAATGTAATTTTGCAAGCAAATAAGTTTGAACATAGGGAACCAAGCTTGGGTGGACAATGATGTTCCCAAAAGACATAGACTATTAAACATGAAATGACAATGCCAAACACAGGATACCTCCCTACTATGGTCAGGTATTTCACTGAGGTTTTCAAAACAACTTGGGTCAGTTTTTTCTGTTGCTCTTATTAGTGCATCACAACTATAAGTTAAAGAGTCTATTGCTGAAGACACCACACACTTTGACTGAGACATAGAGAAATCAGTCTTAGACCAACCAGGACATTTTTTGTAGGCTGGTTAGCACTTATCATTCATACTGCCAAAAGGTACTATTCAGATTGACAGGAAAGAAAAGACATTGAGGATACTACCCAGCATTAGACTCTCCATGCTATAACATCAACCTGACAAGCAATATATGCCCAAGGGTACAACAGAGGCATGACATTTGTGGGATAAGCAACTGCTTTCTAGTAGAAATGGAGTCCTGCTCTACTGGAGGTTATTCATACCTGGTGCTTCCAAAAGTCTCTGGAAGGAGAGGTCGCAGGCTCTAGGGATGAACCTACTGCTGTTATTTTGCTAAATAGCTATGACATTAAAACACCTTCAAAACATTTATGTTCCAATCCATAGACCTAGACATGGTCTGCTTTCAACCTTGACCACAGCAGCTTCTTTTTGTACTAGGTAACAGTCAATATAGATATGCCTAACTGCTCAAAGTGCTAAGAATAGTGGCTTGCTTAGCCCTAAATCAGAATCTCCATCAATGACAGACCTCCTGCCAAGGCTCAGCAGCATCTTGTAACAGAAGGCAGAGAGAGTGTAAGAGGCAGAGAGTGGTAAGCTGTGTTAGAAAATGCCATTTTGTGGACATGAGCTGCTCATTGTACTCACATCAGCATTGGTTACATGGACAAGTGATGGGGGAAGTCTTTATGTGTATACGTTGTCTTGTTTGTTGATTAAATAAAGCACTGTTGGCTGAGAGGTAAGCAAGATACGTGGGACTAGAAGTTGAGGAGGATTCTGGGAAACAGAGGCACAGTCAGTTATGATGTAGGACGTGGGAGAAGTAAGACATCTGGACCCTTTCTCCAGTAAGAGACTACATGGAAATACTCCGATTAGCAGTAATGGGTTAATAATTAAGTCAGAGATAGACAATAAGAAACCAAGCAAACGGCCAACAGCTTAATAATTAATATAGTGTTTCGTGTGTTATTTGGAGGCTGATAATGCTCAGGACCCAGGCAGCTGGTGGGAAGACTACACATTACATATGGTGTCAGACGTTACAAACAAGACCCTCATAAGATCAAGACAGCCAAAATCCCAGCATAGACAGAAGAATTCACAGGACCCCATGCCTGAACCAGGAGCAATTAGCAGTTGATAGGTGCTAGAAAGAAAGGTCACTCTTCTCTGTGGGTTTAGTCACTGGTAAGTTGCCCATACTCTAGTGGGTGACCCCATACCTACACATAAAAGGACAACACTAAATTGGCTTAGTAGGCTAGTTGTTTTTAAAAGAAAAAGAGAGGACATGGAGTAGAAAGGTATACGACATGGGGTGACATCTATGGGGTTAATGAGGGTAGACATGATATTTTATTGTATATTGGAAATTCTCAACTACTTTCACTTTTAAGGAAGTAAATATAAAAGTGATTAAAATTACAACTCAGAAAAAAATTTAAATACAAAAGAAATCAGTACTAAAGGAGTTGAAAACAATAAAGACATAGTACACATGAAGAAAGTTGTCAGCAAAATGGTAGGTTGGTTGTCAGTAATGACTTTAAATGTAGGTGAATTATACTTCTCAATTAAAAGATACAAAATGGCATAAAACATACTATAACTAAAATCAAAAAATACTGTCATGAATAAGTGGAAACAATAAAATATATTTTACTACAAAATCTTTGAAAAAAACGTTTGATTTCAAATTTTTGGTAAAACCCATCACACAGGAAAGAGCACACAGGACACTTAGTTGCAGGAAGATTGACACTGATTTTGGAGTGTGTCTCCCTGGTTATGAATTCTCAACTCCATGCTGATACATTTCCATTTTAAAGAAAAATACTGTTCCTATGAAATATCAAATAATAGCAATTTGAAATACTGTAAAATGATATGAAATATTCTTACAACCTGTGAAAAGACCTGCTCAAAGCACATAGGCTAGCACAAAAGGAGTCATCATCAGGTAATTTCTGATTTAATATCTTTAACTTGGAAAGCATAAATGATTTTGTTAATAAGCTAATGATGGATATTTATTGCCCCTCACAACTTAAGCTTCGACTCGGAGAACAGACAGAATCAGCAGTGAAAACCTGCTTGAAGTAAACACACAGTGCAGCCAGACACGTGGCCACAGAACTGTGCAGAACCCTGCCCGTGTTTTCGGCAACGGAAGGAGATGCTTGTAGACTCAGCATTGGGGAGGATGTGGTGTCTAGGATGGCAGTGATGAGCACATTAGTATTCCTGGGGCCTCAGGCTCTCCATAGGTACCACCGTTGTGGAACATATTTCATCTGAAAAGAAATAGCCCCCTGAAGGGCACACATGTGAAATCTAAATACTACCCTTTCTTTTTGAAATTTTAATTTCGGAACTTAATATAGAGTCTACTGTTACCAGAACAAACGCATCTACCCAAAATCATCTGAAAGTAGCTGGAGAATCCCCAAAGCATAATGAGTTCTTATAGAGTTTCCATAGTTATGGAAAGGAAATCATTAGTAACCTAAGACAGAAAAAAGAAATCATCTAATTAATGTATTCAGAGATGAATCTTAATGTCCAATTATTCTCTTGATTTGACACAACCTAGTAACAACATAACATAGTCAGCAACATTGTACTACTGTTAGAAATAGCAGGAAGTAGCCCAGTGGGGGAGGGAGAGACATTTTCTTATCCTTTTTTTTCTTTTTTCATAGCACACAATAAGGAAATCTCCTACTTGAATTTATCTAATTTTTTAAGGAAGCCAATGGAATTAACCTGAAAGTTATATTCTGCTAGAATATCTGGATTCTATTACAATTAAAGCTTACAGATATGCTTTAAACAAAGATCTAGTGTCCAATTCACTAATGTTAGTAAATTGTTGTGCTGTTTTTCAGTGTAGCCTCTCAGTTCAGCTTATTGATTGATTTAACTATGTCTAGTTTCCACATTTTGTAGTTGGTTCAAATTTAACAGTGCTTCTGACAAGAGGAAGGGAGGAAAAGGTGAGAAGCTAAAGTACCAATGTTGTGCTGCAAACTGATCCCTTGCTGCATTAAGATGGATGTCAACGAAGACACATTTCAATGTGTCAGTGCTTTTCACTACAGTAGCAATGATTGGATGAAGGAGCGCCTCGGAAACCCAAAACTGTTTTTTCTGCTTTTCCTCTTCAAAAATTATTTTTTAATCCTTCTTTCTAGGTGCTTAAATTCCTCCAAAATTGAAGGACCATAGCTCTTAAACATTAATAATATAAACTTAATCATAGCCATAATTAATACTTGGATATATTTATCATTATTTAGCCCCATTTCATTCTCCCTCACTGAAACATTATAAAGTCATATACATATTTGAAGAACACAAAATTCACTGTGTGACTACCAGAATGATCTGTTTTTTTCAAAAACAAATTTGCTTCATGGTTATTGTTATATTCAGGATATGTCTCCTTCTCAGAAGATACTTTCTACTTGCTTTTTTAGGTAATCCCTCTTTATTGCATATGCTTTTTAAAGGCTGACAAATACTTCTTTCCCATTGCTTCACTACTTGTCAGTCATCCCAGAGCTATTGTTTCTATACTATGAAGCTCTACTCTGACTATCCGAACCACAGATGTGGTTGAAAAGACTAATGTGTAAGAGAACATAGAACAACATGGCCAACTATCATCAGAAATTAGCTGCCAATAGATACAAAAATCCATAGTAGGCACTATATCAGATACTGAGAATAAAATCTCACTCAAGAGATATCTAAGAAAGGAAGTTCACTTTTAGGAACGGGAACTCCACCTTAGAAGATACAGTGCAAGGAGATGATATGCACCTACCACCTGTCTTTAATAATACTGGAGCAAAGAGCTAAATGCAGAAATTCAAAGGGACTACAGTCAAGGCTTTGTTTTTTTTTTCTTTTTAAGAAGCAATATTTGAGCTCTACTTCAGATTTATGTAAGATTCTGTTAGACAAATACATTATGTATTCATTTATTTGTGGGTGTCATATGTTAAGTCTTTGTAAGCAGGCTGCAAGCCACATCGCCATGGATGTTAGGTAGAGAGTAAAGGACTAGTGAACAGACAAGAATCTCTGTACAAGGAGAATTAGAATAGTTATGGAAGGACTGGGGGTGGGACTGGGTAGATTGGGAAGATAAATGGGAGAATCAAAAGAAGGGAGTACAAGGAAGGACTGCTAAAACTAAAGGCTATTTGAGGGGGTCATACGGAGACCTAATATGGTAGAAGTTTCTTAATATATATCCATATATGTAAGAAATCTAGATGCAATCACCAAATAACAAAGATACAAAGCCCCCGCCTAGATGTCTCTTGCTGTTAAATGAAATTTCCCTCAGACATGGCCATAGGTCAATGTGATCTAGGCAATTCCTCAATGGAAGCTTTTCCCTGAGATGATGCTAAGTGTGCCAAATGCCATTGTCCACATCTTGGAAAGTCAATTTAGTCATATGTAGTAAAATAAACAGTTCATGATTTTTTTAAAGCCTTAACATATAATTTTAACAAATGAAGCTTCAAAACAGGCTAGGAAGTTTTGTCTTTCACCTATGCCCTCATTTACTCAGCAAACACTGACTCCAGTTTTAGAATATCTAGTCATTATAAACATATATAAATCCAAGGAAAGTTAAAAACTACCTACCTTAGATATCCACTTACCCTTGGGTCAGAGGGAAGGCACTAGTGACTGGGGTTGTGTTAACTGGGTAGTGCAATTGAAGATTCAGATTACACTAGAAGAGAAAAACAGGCAATGGCTAAAATCTGAGTCAACCATACGAGCCTTCCAGGAAGACAGTGGGGCCTTTCAAGGCAGTAGCTCAGGATCAGGGTAACAGAGCTCTCTCTCTCTCTCTCTCTCTCTCTCTCTCTCTCTCTCTCTCTCTCTCTCTCTCTCTCTCTCTCTCTCTCTCTCTGTCTGTCTGTCTCTGTCTCTCTGTCTCTCTGTCTGTCTGTCTGTCTCTCTCTCTCTCTCTCCCCCACCCACCTTCATTTTCTTGTGATTTTTGCCAAGAAGGTAATGCCAGGTCCTGAGAAGATGCAATAAACTTTTTCTCACTTCAGAGGATTCTGTGTTCTGTAAGCTCAGTTAGCCTTGCACAAAATGTGATAGCCCAGCCTAGGAGTGCTAGGACGTCAAATCTAAACATATCTTCCAATTAGAGGAGCCTAGGAGATTTGGGAGGGGTGAGGCAGTATCCTGTCCTTCCAACAATTCTGAGAGAAGGGCAGAATGCTTAGAGCTTCCAAAGAATGAACTCCTACTGTCTATTATAGGAGCTTCTACAAAACATTCCAGAAAAACATATTTCAAATGTATTCTGGGCCATCAAACTCTTCTTTGGGACTCTGCTTTTAATAGAATCCAAATGAAGACAAAAATTCATTCAGGGTCACTTATAGAAAATGGTTTGATTGGTAATGACAAGAGGGGATAACCTATATGCAAAGACAGTAGAAACTGGAAATAATTTTATCCAAAAGTCATATATATGAGCATATATAAACACAGACTTTGAAGGATGGAATAACTGAAAATTCAGATTGGAAAAACCAAGAGAATACTCTTTTTCTACCTCCTACTTTCAATTTCATTTTTCCATAGAAGAAATATATGGAAAGGCGAAGTAATTTTATTTTTATTTTAACATTTATCTCCATGTTTGAGTGTCAGTGATTCTTTCTTCAATAGCTTATAATATACAGCAATGTTTTAAAGTGATTATTTAACATTCATGAAACAATGGATGAATAAGCAGAAGAAGCAAAACTTGTAATGTTTTCAAAAATTCTAATTACGTTTGTTCTTTTTTAAACTTTACTCTTTGGGGAGTAGTTGTTTCAGGGATTTTGCTTTGTTTTACTTTTTAAAGATTCTCACATATCATAGCTAGCCTTGAACTCACTATGTAGCAGAGGATGGTTTTGAACTTCTGATCCTCTTGCTTCTGACTTCAGAATGCTGAGGTTATAGGTATGTACCACCATGCTCACTTTTGCTCATTGCTGACTATCAAACCAGCGACTTTCTGAATGCTTGGTGAGGACTTTACTAACGGAGCCATATCCTCAGCCCTATTTTGTTACCTACTGGTAAGTAGTATGTAGTTTAGTCTTGCCTATGTTTCTAGTCTAGGCTGTGCCCGAAAGAATAAACACTTACAGAACTTGTGAAGTTCTGTGTAATAACAACTCTCTTAGAGGATACTATCCTTTTATTTCTGTAATATTTTCAGAATTAAAGTAAGGCTTGCAACAGAAATGACGATTCCTTCTTCCACCTGATCATTCTTGAATTTTAGGGATTCCTATGGTAATGTAGGAAGCATATTAGAGGGCTTTATCCTAACATGGTCAACAAATATGAGCCCAGAAAACCTGTGGGTTTTTCCCCATGTTTCTATGATACTGGCACTGCGTGTCTGGAAGCCTCAACATCAATTACACAATGAAAACTTTATCAGAATTGTCTCTGATTCATTTTGTGTGTTTAGTGCCTATAACATAGTACAATCTCAACAAATGTTTGTAGGATTGCATGAGATCCACTCATTATATAAAAGGTATACCTAAAAAAACCTAATTAATGCAGCTCTATTAAATGCCCACCTCAAGTCTTCTTGTTATCCCCACTTATATGGAAATTAATAAATCAAGAAATATTAAGTAATTGCTGTCCCATTTGCTGAAAATGGAAAAGCTGAACTCCATGTTGTCATGGATACAACATTCTATTTTCAGTACTAGTCTGTCCTACTTGTTAATGACTGTTACAGTAACCAATAGGAAAATAACACTTTACTCACCACATTTCATTAAATATAGCACCTCATACTAAGCTTAATGGGACAATAAGAACAAAGCCTTGCTTGGCATTTGTTTACAGAATTCCACTATTTCCCTACTGCCTGTGACTTGCATAGCATCAACCCTCATGACTAGCTTCCCCCCAAAAGTCAAGAAAAAAATCTTTCTATGTATCTGAATAATAAAGGGTACCAAGCAGGACATTTACTGATGCTTAACCAATAGTTGAGTTTAAGGATTCTACTGTCTTTGACTTGGGGTTTCTGTTTCTCCAATAGATGATTACAGTGCAAGAAACAACCTTGTTTCCCAACATTGTAGATTCAATCAAAAGTACACTAGGACGATATGAGTCCTGAGCACTAGAACCTTGAGAAACTAGCTGTGGTAGTGTGAATGTAATTGGCCCCCATATGCTCATATGGAATGGCACCATTAGGAGCTGTGGTTTTGTTAGAGAAGGTATACTTTGTTGGAGGAAGTGTGTCACTGCAGGGACTTGCTTTGAGCTCTCTTCTGTTCAAGTTTCACTCAGTGTGGCACAACGACCATTTTCCTGTTGCCTGCAAGATGTATGACTCTCAGCTGCCTCTCCAGCGCCATGTCTGCCTGCATGTTGCCATGCTTCCCACCATGATGATAATGGACAACCTCTGAACTGTAAGCTGCTACCCCAATTAAATGTTTTCCTTTATAAGAGTTGTTGTAGTCATGGTGTCTCTTCACAGCAATAGAAAACCTTACTAAGACACTAACATTCAAGAGAGGTGTATGAACAGGGAAATTGTGTAGTTTGCTACTGAAGCAATCACAATGAAATAATCACCACCGTCACTGAAATCATGTTATGTTACTTCCAAGTTGAGCTGTGAGAGGAATGAGTATAATAACGTTTAAGGGGGGAGAAATTACAAACAAACAGCTTAGGCTCTAGAAGAAAAATGTAGGATAATTACCTTTTATGCTGCACACATCTGAGCAAAAGATCAAGGAAATACTGAAAACTGTAATACTATTTCAAAGTCAAGGGAAGTAAGTGGGAAAGGAAAGAAGGACAGATAAGTCAGAGTTACTAAAAACAAGATCCCAGATAGGATATAAAAGACTAGAAACAGATGTTTATATTAAATCGCCAATGGAGTGATGAAACCCTACAGATTGTGATACCAACTTAACTAGAAAAGGCTATGGCGAGCAGACACTTCTGAGTTGGAGCCCTATTTTCTACCAGTCTACTAGAGGAGGTGGCTGTTCCTGCTCCTGCTAATGATGAGTACCATATGCTAGCAAGAGACATAGCCAGAGTTCTCGGCTGTGTTAGTTAAGAAGACACATGTAATTTTCTTTATCTGTTACAAAATTAGTGCAACTTTGAAATAACTACATGCAGAAAGCATACAGAGGGGACCATATTGCTTCTCATTCAAAAAGTCAAGAGTGAGTCATTAAGCAATTCTTTTCATTTCAATTCAATAACTCAGCTGAAGTAGCTTTGCTGTGATTTAGACATGGTTTTGCTCTAAGTTCTGGTTGATTTTATTCTTGTGGTGGAGAGAACACCAACCAAAAGATATGTATAGTCAGTGTGCTATTTAAAAAGCAAAACATTTGTAGCTTGCAGACACTAAAGGAGTACTTAAACCACTCTATACGAACGTGTTAAATATTTTACTGTCCCACCAATGACAGGGTCCAAGTCTTGGTTTCTAGCCATTCACCTAGTTCAGTACCCTAAAATTTTCATCACTGAGGGGTTTTTTAATCATTTGCATTTAAAAACAATCTAAGCTTGACAATATGGGGGTTCTCATTTGTTTGTCATTTACACTGAGAAAATTTTAAGGTCCAAAAACAAACAAATAGCCAAACCAGAAGAAAATGAAAGAGCAACTAAGGAAAAGTATGCAAACTTTTGTTTTCTTTCTGAAACTAGCTGTAACTGTCTTAATTCTGAGGCAAACACATGGTTAATCTGACCTACTCAGGAGTAGAAAGACAAAAAGAAGAAAATAAAGCCTAGCTATTTCTTGTTATATCTGGACAAATGAAATGACTGCTTATCTCAAGATTTTATGCTTCATCTCTTTATCAATGTCATGTAGATACGGCTGAGATGGACTTTTGTTTGTTTCTTCCCCCTCCCCTTTAAATCTCATTAAAATATGGAGAGCACAAAGGAAGAGCCTCAGAATAAAAATATTTTGGTAGTCCTCATTAAAAAGAGTTTAAGTACTCTGGACTTTATTTTATTGCATGGCAATAAAATTCAGGCAGTAGAGATATGTCCAATCCAGAACTTCATGGAGGAACCTTAAGCAGAGTTAACTCCTAACCAAGGAGTTTTGACCCATACTTATCCAAAGGAAGCCTGCTGCCCCAGAAAAACCATCAGCACTATTTAAGCTACTATATTGTTTTTAATATGTGAGTCTGAATGTTTTTATACAGCCAGTAGAATGAAAAAGAAGGGGAGAGAAAGAATTCTGACAGAATGTTAGCCTCGTAACAAATAAACTTATCAGATAAACTTTAATATGACATGCTTATCAATCAAATTTTGTTGTAAAAGATTAAAGAAAAAGGATAAGTGGAAGAAAATGGGAAAACAAGGCAAGAGACATGCTACCAGAGATAGATTATGTTCCCGGCAGGAACCTGCCATTCAGTTTTGTCTAGAGGCCTATAACTGAGGCTCAATGTTTTTTAGTCTTTTGGATTTCTGATACCAAGAGAGAACATCTATTACTTGTCAGTATTCTAAACTTGTCTGTTGGGCAAAGTTTAATATACCTGTGCCCCCTGCTTTTTGTGTGACACTGTCCTGCGTGGCAAGCCTGACCCTGCAACTCCACAAATGCCCTGCACAAGAGTAAACATTGCCTCCCAGTGAGCTTGCTCACCTTCACCCCTTTGGGAGTCCTGAGTCCCCACAGAAATTCATACCAGAGTTTTGCATCCACAGCTGAGGAGAACAGTAGCTCTCTCTGGCAATTGTTGCAAATGATCCTTGAGCTCTCAGGAAGCCAGCTTGCTGAGAAAGGCTGATGGTCACTGGGCTCTATATACCAATCCCCACCACCACTCTGCTATCCTGCTTAGGTTCCAAGAATTCACAATGAACAAGAGCGTAGAAAGAAATTAGAATTGTAGACATGCCAAAGGTGTCCCTTGGATATGGTGTATATTGTGTTGTCATGTAAAAGAGCCCTTGAAAGATAAAGGAGCTGAGTCCAATTACATTACTGGTTCCGTGTTCATCTGAAGCCGTCTAACATCAGACTTCCAAAGATAGCACAGTGCCTGAAATAATGAATTCACCTCTTACTTCCAAAACAATGTTGGAAAATTAATTCCCAGTGCTAAGATGAATTTGGCAGCAGAACAGACACATTACAATTTTCCAGGTTACCTGGCAATCATTTTGAAATGTTATCTTGTGTAAAATGGGACTCTTGTGTCTTTCCCACAGACATAGTGCATCTGAGTCCTGGGCTTTATTTCTTGCTAAGTTAAAGAAGGCAAATACATTTCTGATGCTGTCGGAAAAGCATACAACTTACCTGATTACCTGTCATAAACATTTGTACAAGTGTCTAAATATAATTTCACATAACAATACTGATTTGAACTACAATTAAAATGAAACTTTATGAATAAATACATAGGAGATAAAGTTTGTTGTTATTGTATGATTATTATTGTAGCTTATAATGAGAAATACCAACATAATAATTTAATCTCAACTAGGACTAAAGTGAATTATTTTACAGGCAATATTTAAACTAAAACACGTATTTTTTGAATCTATATATCAGAACCTAACAGCGACCATTTAAACACATCAAAACTTAAATCTTACCTACTGAGCATGTGCAAGAACTTGGGTTAACAAGTTAACAGTCTTTCCCTGTGACTTGGAGTTGTTGACAATTGAGAAAACCTATAAAATGTCCTGAGTTTGAAATGCTGTTTGATCAAGGGGAGCTTTCTGCCATCCAGACCTGTTCTGCTAACTATTAAAAACCATGCTTTAGAATGCCCAAATTTACAGGGGCTCCATTCTTTATGCTGGGCTCTCTTTAGACTATACCAATCTACTGATCCCAAGAAGGGATATTTGAATGAATATTTCAGCAGAAGAGAAAAAGAGAGGAGGGGGCAGGAAGAGAGAGGGAGGGAGAAATAGAGAGGGAGGGGGAGGGAGAGATGAGCTAGCCACAGCTGGGTACTCTCCTTTGGCAAAACCCAGCAGCAGCCATTACCCTTCTGTTTATGGCAGCACAAACTACTTTATTTGAAAAGTCACTCATTTCTATGATAGCAGTGGACATGTTTTCATCAACAAAACAGTTCAGGAAGAAAAATTGTATTATTAGCTAATTTTCATTTTATGAATTAGAAATTTTTCTCTGCACAGACAGAAATTTCAAACCCCTCCAGAAATGGACGTGTGCCCATGGATTGATGACTAAGATCAAGTTTCCAGTGTGCTAATAACCTGCTCCAGTGAAAACATATTTTTAATTTGCTTTGAGGGTTATTTATTTTTTTATTATTATGCTAAGGGTTTATAATTTAATGTCAAACATAATTTTGCACGAATTATGTGAGTGTACTCTGATGCGGTAGATAAGCCTGTGTGCCTGCTTGGCATGGTCTCAGACGACGTTTTTGAGAAAATGGATCACCGTTTGGCAGGTTGCCAGTCCATAAACTGCTCGGTGGAACACTGAAAGGAAAAAGTTGTAAGGAATTTTCATGTTTTGCAAAAGGAAGGGAAGGGAAAGAGAAAATCCCTAGTAACACTAGAGAAAGAAAAGATAATTACTCTCATGGTTTTCTGTCCCGCGCTACCGTCTCGCCAGCAAGAACGACGCAGAACACTCGGATCCTTCTGCAGTAAAGCTTTAATGCATCTTGAGAGATAGATGATCAGCTTCTTAGAGGGAGACCCCAAGCTAAGAAACCCAGCCCCTTATATAAGCCTAGGAGCTCCGAGTGAGATGTGTAGAGCCGGGATTGGTGGTTTGCACATCACCCCAGATGACGTCACGGGAGAGGCACAGTTTAAACGGTTAACTCCAACTGACAGCGACAGTTAACTCCAACTGACAGCGACAGTTAACTCTAACTGACAGCGACAGTTAACTCCAACTGACAGCGACAGTTAACTCCAACTGACAGCGACAGTTAACTCCAACTGACAGTGGATGTCAGCGCCATCTTCTAACGGCAATAGCGATAGCGAGGGCGGCTCCTCACATCTTTCTACTAGACATAAGATAAATTGGTAAACCTAATTAAGAAATTAAAAGGCTTCCAATTAGAAATTACAATGTCATATTTATTATAAATCATCAGCCAGCTAAGTGGAATAATATTTTAAACAGTAATATTTGTTTAAAATATAAAGTAGTCATCATAGTGTCTCCTGGCTTTATGACTGGATTGGTAAACATTCAGAAGCAGTATCTACAGTGGGCCAATCATTATGCTGTAAATGAGAGATGCGAAAATAAAAGCTGACTGTGGTTGCCCTCTAGGAGCCCCTTCTAATGGAAGAGACAGTCACAGAACATCCAGCCAGGGCAATGCAGTAAATTCACTAATGCGGTTTCACATGGGGTACTTGGAACACAGAGAAGTAGCATTTGGCCAGGATTTGAACATGAGGTGAGAGGTCAGAAAATGTCTCTAAGAGGGGACTGGGCAACAGACTTAACACTACAAATAGGAAGATAGAGAACCAAAGGATTGGCTGGGTCAAATTTATTTATCCATTCTCAAGCTTAAAAGGACAATAAATATGATATTTGTATGCCATTAAGTCAATTTCATATGCTTTAGCAAACCTGGTTTGCAGACCAACCCTTGTGGTATAAACATGAGGGGTTTGACAGACTCTCTGCAGATAAGGACAGCGATGCCCAGATATCCCAGATAGTACCCCACTCAGGTAATAAATGACTTATAACCAAGCCAGCACTGAAGACAACTGATCCATCACTCTGGGATACTGCACTCCTCCACCATCCTGCTCACTTATGTTGTCACTGACATAATAAGAGGGAAGGATATGATTATAATCACATGAAACATTATTACAGCCTTTGCACTAAAGTAAAATCAGCAAAGATGTTATCAGCTTAATATAATCAATAAGCTACAAATGCATATTTTAAACTTTTGTTGGCTCCATATTCCAAATATGGGAGAAAATATGTCCTAGTTATTCATATAGAATATTTTTAAAATAATACCAAAAGGACAAATAGCCATATCAGTGAGTAAGAAAATCAACTGAAGACACAATTCTCAAAAGAAAATGTACAAATGGCCAATAAATACAAGAAAAAAATATTCAACTCCTTAGCGATTGGAGAAAGACAATTTAAAAGGATGGAGAAGAGGAGGAAAAAGAAAACAAAAACAAGCAATTGAGTTGGGAGGAAATAGCCAAAGCATCTTGAAGCCGAGCCCAGGCTGCAGAATGAGCTAAGAGCCAGCTGATCTGTATTGTGAGAGTGTGTGGAGTGTAGCCTGGGTTATATAATGAATTTCAGACTGACCTGGGTTATTTATCACCACCACACACCAATAAAAACCCAGAGGTTCACACACACACACACACACACACACACACACACACACACACACACACACCACCACCACCACCAACCACCACCACCAACAAAAAGCAACAAATCTGGCAAGGACGTGCCACACGTGTAAGAGGTACTGGGTGGAGAGGTAAGCAAGCTGAGTTGCAAGTTAACAAGCAGCACCCCTCTCTGGCTTCTGCTTCAGTTCCTGCCTCCATGCTCTTGTCTTGCACAGAAACTTGGGCTTCTCTCAGGGACAGAATGTGGGCAGTAAGATAAAGTGCTTTTGGTCAGTGTTTTAGTGAAACAATGAAAAGTAAATGAGGACATTGAAATATAGTGTGCTATGGTTATACTACTCCTTGGCATATACTTGAAAGAATCCAAAGCAGCATATTACAACAGAAATACCTGCATAGTTACATTTAACATGGCACTATTCACAATAGGAAAGTTACAAAATCAGTCTTAGTGCCCACCAATAGATGAATGGATAACGAAAATGCTTCATGTATACAATGAAGTATTACTTGGGCATAAAGAGAGTAAGATATGTTATTTACAGAAAACTGAATGGCACTAGACATTGTGTTAGCTGAAATAAACTGGAAAGGGTCAGATAAAGGAGTACATTATTGAATCTACTTTAAACTAGAAAGCAAATATCAATCTCAAATATTTTACATTGGCATGGGTTTTTGTACACTGATACAAATTTAAGGCTATTTTTGTTATACTGTGTGGGGAGCCGCCCCCCACATTCTCCGTTACAAGATGGCGCCGACATCCGTTGTCAGTTGGAGTAAACAACCTTGGTGCGCATGTGCCTGCTACTTTTCTATCCCTTACTCTCTGCCTCTCCCGTGGCGTCATATGGGCTGAAGAGCAGGAGCCAGTCAGGAGATGACACGTCCGAGGCGGGGACTGCTGAGCTATATAAGGGTTGGGCTTTTCGCTCCCCGGGTCTCTGCTCTGTAAGCTTATGCTCTCCCTCTCAAGACGCATTAAAGCTGTTCTGCAGAAGGATCCTAAGTGTGCCGCGTCGTTCTTGCTGGCGAGACGGTAGCGCGGGACAATACTGTATATATGCTTTTACTCTTTTTTTAAGGTATTGTACCTGGGCAGCTCATTTAAAAATAATGCATAATTAAGAAATGTACATTAGTAGTTAGTCATCTATAATAATCAAACTTGTAGTTAGATTAGGTATGTTTCCAAGGTAAATGTAGCAGGCTTGCTTGGACTGCCAGGCCCCAAATCATGACACAGATTATGGATGCTTGACCTTAACTTAGGTTTGTTTCTAGGTAGTTCTTTTTTTAATTAAATTAACCCACTTCTTTTAATGTATATGCTGCCCTAATGCTCATTTACCTCATCTAAGTACTGTCCATCCTGCTTTCCTTCTTCCTCTGTGTCTATCAGTCTGACCCCTGGCTGGTTTTTCTCTGCCCACCAGTCCCACCTATCTCTCCTCTGCCTAGCTGTTGGTCATTCAGCTTTTTATCAGACCAATCAGGTGCCTTAAGCAGGCAAGATAAAACAGCAACACATCTTTACATAGTTAAGCAAATGCAGATAAACAAAAGCAAAACATCTTTTAAATAAATACTCTTCAACACAAACAAATGTACCACATCTTTACTTAAGTAAATGTTCTATTCCCAACAATAAACCATATACAGAAAGAAAAAAATTTCATAGCTAACCCATGTTCTAAAACTAAATTGGGCATGGGGGGGCGTGGGGAGATGTAATGCTATAAAAGGGAAGCAATTTGGGAAATGAGAGTAATCGTGGGAGAGTATATATGACAAAAATCAGGCTATTTATGGGTGACTTTGATCAAAATAAGTGATAAGCATCCCAGAAAATGTCACAATAAAATTATTTATTTTGTGTAATTAATTTAGTAATCAAAGATCCATAAAATATTCATACAGGCAATGGCTGGAGAGACAGCTCAGTGGTTAATAGCACATGCTACTCTCATAGAGAACTCAGATTTGGTTCTCATAACCCACATGGTATCTCACAACTATCTTTAACTCCAGCTCCAGGGTATCCAATGCTCTCTTCTGGTCTCTGTGGACCACAGGCATGTATGTGGTGTACATACACACATATAAGCAAACACTCATACACACAAAATGAGAAAATAAATATTTTTAAATCATACAAAACTTATAGAAGGATACATTAGAGGACTAAAGTTCCAGTGGGTTAGGGTTCAAAATGGCCAGGCAGAACCATGGCAGTAGAAACAGCTGAGACCTTACATCTCAACCCACAAACAAGAAACAGAGGAAAATAAATTGGGGATGTTGTATGTATGGCTTTTGAAACCTCAAAGCCTGACCCCAGCAGGCTTCCCTACAACAAAGCCACATCTTCTAAGGGTCTCCAAACTCAACAATAACTGGAACATAGTAGTCACATGTTCAAGACTTATGGGGGAAATCACATACAAACCCCAAGAGTAGCCAAAGAGTTAAGAGGCTTTAACATTCATCAGAAGTTAGATCTTTACAGCTATAGTACATACACATAGTGCATTAAAGACTCCTCCACATTGACTAGCCTAGCATGGCTCCTGGAGATGCAACACATGTGATCTTTATAACACTTCAATTTCTCTTTCTACAAAACAGGCATAATGCCTCCCTTGCTTATACTGAAGGAATTAATATTTGAAGTACTAAGGTCAATGTATGTCAATGCCATTTCCTGGGAAACAATAACTCTTTTTTTCTACTTTTTTATTTAAATTAGAAACAAACTTATTTTACATGTCAATCCCAGTTCTCTCTACCTCCCCTCTTCCCCTGCCCCCCACTTAACCCCTATCACATCCCCTTTCTGATCCCCAGGGAGGGTGAGGCCTTCCAAGGGTGAATCTTCAAAGTCTGTCATATCATTTGGAGCAGGGCCTAGACCCTACCCCATGTATCTAGGCTGAGAAAGTATCCCTCTATGTGGAATGGGCTCCCAAATTCCATTCATATGCTAGTGATAGAACTTCAAAGTAGCATTAAGTACTATTAATAAGACCCAGACTACTGTGAGTATGCTTATAACACATGTCTTTTATGTGGATTTCTGGTCCTGAAATGGAAATGTACATTATTATAGAATACAATATGCCATAGGAAACTTTCCAAAATACTTTCTAAACAACACAACTAATATGAATATGAAGTAACACATACCTACTTTAGAAAATATATAACACTCAAAGTTATTGAAATAAATTCAACAGAACTGGAATAATTTGCCTTGTTTTCTATCATGTAAGAAATTTTCTAATTAAGTGATCATAGCAACTGAAAATCCAGTAGATCATTATGATGTATAAAATAATTCATGTCCCCAATGTGTGATTAAAATATAACTTCAGGATATTAACCCAACCTAAATCATAAGTACTATTCAATATTTTCATTTTACATAACAGCACTCAGCATATTAATCAAATGTTTTTTACAGTGTAAATAGGCAGGAACACTTATTTGTATTTTCTACTTATTCTACCCAATCTCCTTGATATCACATACATGTGAAAGGAAGTGATGTAACTGAAACCTGGTTGGTTGTATAAGCCATAGTAAAATCTCAAAAATGTGCATTTTCATCTATTGACTACTGTCTTGGTTAGGTTATCATTGCTCTGATGAAAAAATGACCAGAAACACTTGGGAAGAAGAGATGTGTCTGACTTATAATCACATTTCATTGACAGAAACCAAGGCAATAACTCAAAACTGGTGAGAACCTGGAGGCCAGAACTGATGCAGAGGCTGTTTACTGACTTGTTCTTCATGGCTTGCTCAACCTGCTTTCTTATAAAACCCAGAACCACAGGTATCCCCGCATGCAATGGTCTGTCCACATCATCAGTCACTAATGAAGAAAATGCCCTACAGGCTTACCTGAAGCTTAGGTTTATAGAGGCACTTTTTCAATTGGGATTTCCTCCTCTCAGATGGTTCTAGCTTGTATCAAATGACAGAAAACTAGCCAGCACAACTACTTAACCTTTCTTTCCCAGCAAATTTTAAGTTGAGGGATTTATTTAATTTGTTCATTCATTTTAGAAACTGAACATGAACCAGTGTAAAATGAAGCTCATGTTTTATCCTGGGAATGCAGAGCCTGGGCAATGAAGTCACAACAATTTCATGGTATGCTGGCATTTTGGGTCACTTCTAGATCTGTTGACTTAACGATGCATCAAGGAATAATTATAAATGCTATGTAATAAAAGATATCTAAAGCCCATTATGTCTAATTAACTAGGGTAAACATGACTAATTACGCCAAAAAGAGTTACCCCAAATTATCTTGATCTTTCCAAATAGTGTGTGAGAAGAAGAGGAAGAAGAAAAGGAATACCAGAAGTTTGTGGGAGCCATAATAATTAAAGATGAATTTCACTTGAAGAGTCTTTTAGAAAAGTCTCATTATATGAATCAATCAAAGATACTGAATAAAAATGGTGATGTTTCTCTTTCAGAATTTGCAAAACTATTCCAAATGTAAATTTTTGTTTAAGTCAAATATTACATTATTTTCATAAAATTTATAAGTTCTTTTTTGTTTTTATTTATTTATTTATTTTTCAGTTTAAATTTAGATAAGAAACAAGGTTGCTTCACAAGTCAGTTCCAGGTCCCCCTCCCTTTCCCTCCCCTCCTCCCGTGCCCTCCCCCCAACCCCCCAATTATCCCCTCATTTCCCCAGGGAGGGTGAGGCCCTCCATGGGGGTGTCCATAGTCTGTCATTTCATATAGGGCAGGGCCTAGACCAAAATTTATAAGTTCTTTGAGTGGAAGTTAATTCAAATATGAGAATTCTGGCAGATACATCTCTCTTGTTATTTTTTTGCCAGTAGAAAAACACACACCTGTATTCAGCCCAAAAGTAAAAGCTTTCCATCTTACTACATTTATTTTCATAGTACACCCCTTTACCCAATCCCATGTGTAACCCACAAATCAAATTGAGAATATTTGACAAAAAAAATGGTGGATTCTGTAGGGCTCTTACTGGAAATGAAGACAAGGAAATTACCAAGAGCTCATGGGTTAGCCAGCTAGCAGTGAACAGGAAAGAACCTTTCTTAAACATGGTTGGAAGTTTTTCTCTGACCTACTCAAGAGCTCTGGGAACAAAGAAATGAAGGGAGGGACAGGGCAGGAAGATAGAAGGAAGAATAAAAGGAGTGAACTGGAGAAGAGAAATGTAGAAAGAAAGAGAGAGGGGGAGAAATAAAGGAATAAGAGAGAAAGGAAACAATGAGAAAAAGGAAGGGAGGGAGGGAGGGAGGGAGGGAGGGAGGGAGGGAGGGAGGGAGGGAGGGAGGGAGGACTCTTGAGCCAGTAAGAGCAGTGCAAATGATCCTTCTTCCCAATTCACTTTCTATGTAGTCAGATGATTCTTCTTTTGAAAACAAGTTTAAAATTCTAGTTAAAGTAAATAACTATGCTCTCAATGGGCTCATCTAAGATGTCATCTGGGCCCAGAGCACTGTCTCTCTCATGGTAGCTTGGCCTGGTGATGATCCACATCTGCATTATTAATAGCCTTGAAAATCTGCTCCTGATTCTTGTCCTCATCTTAGTCTTTGAACACTTTCTCACCTAATAACAGACATACAAACAACAGGAAAAAGGGAAATTGCTGACTGAAACAACACAACAAAGAGGTGAGAATTGCCTCCAAAACAATACAGAGAAACCCTATCTCGTAAAAACAAAAACAAAAAACAAAAAAAAGAGGTGAGAATTTTTATGAATGCTTGAATTTATACATTGAGATCTGTTCCAGTTAGTGAGAATACATAGACTTATCATAGTTAGAATGTTATAAAAATTGCATTGTAACACATAATAGAAATAGACAAGGGTGGAGAGGCTAGTGAAACAGAACATTTTACCAGAGAAAGGGTGTGGACTTCTTACTCCTTGAGTCCTACATCTTGACTGATAAGCCTCTCCACAGAGAAGAGAAGAGAGTGAATTCCTGTTTGTCCCTGCATATATTCTGATTCTGCCCTGCCATGTCACTTCCTGGGATCCAATGATGGCTCCTCTCTGCCTACACTTCCCAGAATCTTCCTTGTCTCCTAGTCCAACCTATCATCCTGCCTGGCTAATCAGTGTTTTATTCATCAACCAATAATACAAATATATACACAGAAGAACATTCTCTGTCATCGCCTCTTTTCTATCTAAATTTTAAAAAAATGGTTTTAACTTTAACATAGCACAATTATATATAACAAAACAGTTATCAAGTAAGAACTATAGTTGTAATATTTAGTCTATTAACATTCAGCAAGATTTAAGGAAAATATTCTATCACCTATTCTATCTTGTGAGTCTAAAGTCTTATATGTAACTTATCTTTTATCATAATTAATGAAAAACATAACCATAACTATCTGTCTTCAACTTCATCAAAGACAACAGAAGGATAATATATAAACTCTAGAATTGACAGATACATCTCATTCCCTATACAGTCACCCAAAATTCCTCTGTAATGCTGTGGCATCCATCTTAGCCTATAGTGTGTCTGGCAGATTTTTCAGCAAAGCAGAAATTTTCAAAATGTTCGCCTGCATTGACAGTTTGTCAGTCATTTTTCTGTGTCCTGCAGAATGTCTGGCAGACTCTTCCATGAAGCAGAGACCCTGTAGGACTTTTCAAGTTCAGCAGTCACTTTCCTGTGGGTCCTGCATATCCAATTTATACAGCAACAGTCAAACAGTTCAGGCAAGAGCAATTTCTTGCCCATATGGCTAGTCTCACCATATTGAAAGCAAACTCCTTAACAAGTTTCTTCGATGCCCATCTTCCTCTCAGACATAACAGGAGTAGCTGTGTCTCACTGTCATGAAAAGCCCTAAACAATTTTAAATGCCATATTCTGAAGGTCTTTGAAAGGTTTGAAGACTATCTATCCATCTCAACTATATCTCTGTATATCTAGAAAACCTAACTAACAAGATTTGACTATCATAGGTAGCTATCTATAATTTATACTTAATTATATATTATATTTTTAAATGAGCAATATAAATACAATACCCAAACAAAAGGAAAAATACCTATATCACAAAATTGACCTTAAATTTGTATCAATAAACCAAAAATATCATATCCCCCTTTATTCCTTTAAAAAGAGATTGATTGTGATCATAACCATTTATAACCAACCCCATTTAAATGAGAACAAACATTTATAAACAATATTTGAGAATGTGGGCATTGTTCTCTCCAAACTGCTTCCTGCTGTTTAGGGGCATTGAAATACCATGGGGATCCTTAGAAGAAACCTGGCAAAATTTTGGCTGCAGTAGTCTGAGACTGCCTTGTCTCAGCTGTTTTGAATGTTGGATCACCTGGGCCACTGCTTCAAGAGGTCTTGCTTGATCGAACCATATTAGTCTGGAAGGAATTCACAGCAGAAAAAGGGTCCGGATGTCTTACTCCTTGAGTCCTACATCTTGACTGATCAGTATCTCCATAGAGAAGAGAAAAGCAGCAAAACAGAACTTTAAATGAAATAAATTAAGGACATTGTGAGAAAACTAAAAATCTGAGAGGAACTTCATTTAGATGAATGCTGGTCTCAAAGAGAGGAGAAAGTGTCACATGAGAAATAAACTGTAAATTATTACAGCACTTTGTGGGATTGAATGGTATAATTATAATTGCAAATAAAATGTGAATAGGATGCTTTTGAGTGGATCATTGAAAAGGGCCCACATCATTATGTGAACTTCAAAACATGGGCTACAACCTGTGAGCTGTGGCTCACTTTTGTCTGGATAAGGAGGCGTAGTTCTATTTGAGATTGAAATAGCAAAGGTTATAAAGTACACACTCTCAAAAACCAAAGTAAAATATCATTATTATTTTGAGAATTTACTTTTACAACGTTGTTACTTAAAAACAAAATCAGTGGTTACTCATGGTATTTTTCCACATGTCAGAAACATATCAGTGCAGTATCGGCTGATACTGCTAAACTCGCATTGGTAATGAAGGATCAGAATCAATGATCAAATTTTGCTTCTTTATAAAATACTGACAACAAAAACAGTGTAATGTTTCCTACAAAACAGACTTCTCTTGACACTGACTTATGGATGCTTTTCATCTCCATTCCTGGTGTGAAGATGAGGAGTACTGACAGAGAAAAATCCAACTGACTACTCACCTAGGGCCTCGAGTGGCACAGAATGTCTGAGATGAGGTGCGACTCCTCTGCATGCTAACTGTGCTAACTTGGATACACCATTTCACCCCATTGAATCTCATAAAGTGAGAGTGAGGGAGTCACCCTACCATGAAGTGTAGCAACATGGCAATGTGAGTATCCGGGTAAATGGTCCTCAGTGCTTGATTTTGTCCCCTCCTCCATTCCTTCTCAGCCTTCATTCCCCACAGTGATGCAGGCTATGTTCCTCCTTCTTCCTTGTGACATTTCTTTAACTTTAAGCTTTAACTTTTCAGACCACTTCTCTTTTTCCCACTGAAATGAATTGCAAGGATCTGTTCTTGTTTCTCATTCCTTAACTTTTTCCATCATCTCTATTAACAAACCCACTCAAACTCTCCCTTTAACTATTGCCATCAGTTCTTCTTAGTGGACTCCAATCTCTCTAATGTTCCTTGTGTCTAGACATCTGCTTGATGCTCATAGAAACAGCAATCAGAATGTACCACTGTCTATTCTGAGTTCGCTGTCTTGCTTTCTCATTTCATTCACAACACTGCCATTTGGAGAGTAGAACAAGCCAATAATTTGGGTGACTTTCTTGGTCCTCCACATACTGCAAAGTATCTATGACTCGGATGATCATGTTCCATTTGCTTCCATAGCCTACCATGGTGTTCAAACTCATAGCTGTAGAATCATCTATGTTTTGAATTATATTTACCATTTCAACCACATTATTTTGATTGACATCTCCCTTCCACCATGTAAAGCCTGCCTGAAACTCCATCTCCCATCCCAGATATCCATCTAGACTATGGTTGAATGCATCCACCCCAGAAACTTTTTGTATTTCACAACTAAGGACATGAGACCATCAAAGAGGTTCTTTCTTTAAAAACGTATTAATGGTTAAGAGTTATTCACATGTATTTGTTTATATTTAATAGCTTGCTGAACTGCACAGCTATACATTTTTGACTGGCATCCCAAAGCAGCATGGAGACTGACTTGAAGTAGCTTGAAATGCCAGGCAAGAAGATGTACTACATAAACAATCTTAAGTTATATACAAAATTAATAAACTTTCTAAGAGCTGCTTAAATATCTCTAGCATAGGAAGCTTTTCCCATCTGGTCAGTGCTGTGAGGGGTACAATTTCAAGATCTCTGCTGTGTGTGACTGCTAAAGACTGCTAGAAAACTAACCCTGAGATAAGTGGAGTCTTACTGTATGGCCAAAGGCTTCTTGCCAAAGATTTATAATTAGCAACAGAATCAGTTGGCATACCAAACTATATTTTGTTTCTTTAATCTCCTTTTCCTCCCTTTTGTTTTCC